TAATTTCTATAAAACCTCATTCTGTCACCAGCAATATATATATTACTGAAGGCTCTGTGTCCTTGCCTTGTCAGAAACTGCAGCCTTCACTTTCTTCTTTCACCCATAGTTTTATGTGTACTGCAACAGCTATGAGTGATTTTTGTTTCCATATTCAGCATAAAAAAACCCAACTTTATGGGTCAAGCTATTATTTCCTCATATTATGCTGCAGTCCCCTTTTATTTCTGCACTATTCTCTGTCCTTTAAATTCCTTGCTTAAAATCTCCTTGGTGATTTCTTTATTTCTCTCCTAAGCAGCCTCAGATTTTCATCTGGGCTTCCCTCCAGGCAGTCTAGTATCTCACTTTCCCYTTAAATTCCTTCATTCCATAATGAGTATTTTTAGGTTTGTACTAATAACTGGTGGACTACATCTCCCAGATCTAATGTGTGATTACTGGACGTGATTCTGTCTTTCCATGCAAGTGTGTGAGCAAGTGGAGAGAATAACCATCCAGGAAAACACATGAAAAGGCAAGGACAGGAGCCAGTCATGCGATGACACCCGGCACTGAGCAGCCACAGAGGGTTCAGGACTGTGACCTGCAGTCTGTGGGGTGACCCAGGGAGAAACGTGTCCTTTTTGTGTCAKGTGTGACCATGGTGGGTATTGAATTGTAACTTGGGCTCTCACAGCACGGTGACAGCACAGTGCTGGCATTTCCCCATCACGAGCACACTGTGGGGACATGTGGTGACCCCACGCCCAAGCAAGGAGGAGCTGTTTGGGCTCTGTCAAGGCTCCTTCATATCACACAGTGCTCAGTGCTCAGCATCACGAGACACACAGGGAGGCAGAAGGCATCTCCACCCCAGTGYCCAAAGCTCAGGCACTTACAGGAACCTGGCACTGCACTCAGCCTGCCCTGGGCACAGCAGGGCCAGCTCAGCCATGCCCAACCTGAGCCCAGGCTGATGAGAGAGAGCTGGGAGAAGATCAGCAGGACACTAGAACTATCAAGGCACAACACAGGCATGTTGACACAGGGGTGCTCAGTTGTTCAAGGATTCAGAAGGGAAAATGCTGAGTATGAGCTCCTGAAGGAGGAATGAAGGGAGGATGGTCAGGATCAGTAAAACCTGAGGTAGTGGAGTTGGCAGGTCACCARCTTGAGTCACTGGAGTGGGCACAGCAGGTGGGGGACAGCAGCTCTGGGACACCCAGACCTGGCCCTTTCCCTCCTGGTGAGTAAAGGGCAGTAAAGGCTCCCCAGGTTCTGCAGCAGGGAACAAACCTCAGCCTGATAACTCGTTAATTCCTACCTGTCCTTCATTAGCACCTAAGCTGGCCACAACTACTGTGCATTTCATGTGGTCAACGGGCCCTTTGCTCCTCCAGATGACTCTTTGTGCCAAGACTGGGATTGACTTTTTTTTTCATCTTCAGGAGTCACCCCAACTATGATTTCACATGTTCAGACATGGGAAGCAGAGGGTTTTATCAAGAATTTAATSTACCAATAATCTAGCAATTCTGTAACATAATATCACACATCTRTGGGTTCTTGTATCTCTGTAAAATTACTTATTGTGTCTTTTATTAATGCACAATGGATGTGCATTAGTGAATCAACCAAAGCAGAATTAAATTGCTTTTCTGTCTGCTTTTGCTTTTATAAATCAATAGATCTGTGACAGTAATGTGTTTTAAACACACACAAATGGTGGATTTTTCTTTTYATCGTGAGTTGTTCAAATATTTGCTCGCTAGCCTCAGAATACTTATATTCTCTAAGCCAAAGAAAAATTGTATCACTTTTTTCTTCTGCACTTTATATATAAACTTAGCTTTGCCTCTTCATTYCCCTCTATTACCTTTGCCATTTTTCACAGGCCAGTACACAGGTCCATATTTCTCTCTAATAGATTTTAAATTTTTCTGGACCCAATTTTATTGGCTCTCTAGCAGTATGATCTATTCAAGTGGAAATGGGAAGTTTATGCAATATTCTCTCTAGACTTCTCTGAATGTATTATTCTCTGAGCTGCACAGGSTGGAATGCACCTTTATTTTAGAAGCTCTGCAGTCTTGCAACTCTTGCACAAGGATCACTGGAAATCCAAGGTCCTGTGACTGTGTGAGGTGAGGAATTGAAGATTTTGTGAAAATCAGATCACTGAAGGACTCTGTATACATGTTATAAGAGAGACAAAAAATAAAAATTTTGGGGGGAATGCTCCCCTGAGGATCCCATGTACCACTGGAATATTCTCTGAACTGTAATGGCAAGCAGAATATTTCTAAACCCATCCTCTAACAGACCACGATGGGATGCACCATTCAGTAAAAAACTTGTTCCACTTTTGCCTAGTTCCTCTGATGCTTTCAGGTCTGGTCAGGTCCTCAGTGAGGCCTCAAATAGAAAGGGTGAAACAAATTTTAGTTTCTCACAAGTCTCCTTCCAGTTTTATACTGAACATAGCTTATTGAGAACAGAAGAAACATATGTGTTTAGTTCATATACTCACTTATAGCTGGGTCAACTTGAAGAGCATTTACAAGCTGGTCCAGAGAACAGTTTAAATTTAATTGCATGTATCTCAACTGAGACACCTTTATCAGCCCACTGTCAGATTCCATATTATCACTGTGTTGCTACCATAGTCCTGCTGAGTATCTGAAAGGGCTGTGTGATGTGGTAGGCTGCAGCAGAGACAACAAGGCTCATCAACCCTGACAATCTACCCCAGTCTTTTATTCCTGTCCCGTTGTGTGTCCATCACTCTGGTTTGTAGCTCTCCATAGCCACAATTTTTTCTGTGATAAATGTTCTTACTCGCTGCCCTCACTTGATTAATCTTTTCACCAGCTGTACTTGTGTTTGCAGAGTATGCGTTGCTATGCATTCATTTCACCACCTCCACACCTCACAGCATTGGCAACAATCACTTACATTCTCTAGAAGAAAATGCTGTTAACTCATTGCATCCAAAGAAAGAAAACAAAATGTCAGCATTATGAATTGGGACTAGACTATGATTTTGCCCTAAGAGTGTGTGAACTGTACTAGGCAAAGGAGAGGCAGCACCACATGGGAAGGCACATAAGAACAGACAACACTTGGCTTGGGGTTTCCTCTGTTTGTCCATCGTTTGTGGGACTTCAATTATCAGCAACAAATTAATATACTTGCCCAACATAAGCTGGCACACCAAGGGGAGGAGAGTGGGCAGCACAGCAACAAGACATTTGTGTGGTTAAATAACAACTATGGCTCTAGTAAGTGCTCAAGAATACATGCTCCTGGATTTTGAAAGAATGACAAGAAGGCCATTTGTTGTGTGTAGGCAATTTACTGCCTTTGTGTCAGCTGTCAGAAGGACAGTGSCCACCCAAGGCCTTGGCAGGCTGTGTCAAGGCTCAGAAAAGGTGTTCACATTCTTCCAGTCATCATTGCCAGGGCTGAGCACCATATTTTTTGTTGTCGATCATTTAATTAAGACTTATCTATTGGATGCAGCAAGTGCATCTTGCAGTGTCAGTGCCTAACATCCATATGTTCCTGTCTGCTACCTCCCAAGTGGAAATGTACTTAAATAGCCTTAAAGGGAGTTTGTTTCTGTCTTTGCTCTTAAGTGAAACTATTTCAACAATTTACAGAGAGGCTTTTCTGTTTTTTTGATTAGGGTTTATTTGCTCCTTTATCTCAAAGAGGGCACAGTTATAAAGAKCCCCAAGGACAGCCTGCACCATTTTTCCAACTCCATAATTTTCTCCTTACAATTTTTCTTCAAAGAGTGAATAATACACTGTTCAGTTCATTGAAACTGCACTTTGCTAATGGAAACACTGCCTGGAGCTGCTTTGAAATAGTATCCAAAGTAGCCCACAGCACTGAGCGATCTGTGAGATGGGCACAGCGAGTCCCCTACTAGTGCCATGTCCTGGCAAACAATTTTGACCTTCATGGGAGTTACTGTCACAAAGATGTGAATCCTCTGTGCTGGGTGTTTCGGTTCTCAGCAGGATATGTCTTCACAACTGATTTGATTGCCTCATGCATCATTTCAGAACTGGCAGAGATTCCTTACAAAGAAACACCCTGTTCTCTGATGTCAGGACAGCTCCTTCAGACTGTCTGTGCTTGTTTCTTCTGGTTCCTTCCCAGCCTGCTTTCCATCTTGTGCCTCTGCCCAACAGCCAATGCAGGCAGGCGCTGTTCTCTTCTTCCCGYGTACATCCTCATTTCAGCTCCATGTCAAAGGTCACTCTGTCMATGATTTTTGTCTCCCCAGAGCCTGGTCTTTCCACAACAGTAGTATTCAGCTCTGATAAACCTTCACTCCAGACTACTCCATACTTTATTTTTATATTCTAGGTTATCACTAGTACTGCCAAAGAAAAAGCACTGGCAAGAAAACTCAGTGAAGGTTCATACTGAAAATGAAATGGTCATTCATTTATTATGTACTTTTTGGCAACAGCCTTTTTTTTAATGGTCATTTATGCCAGCCAGAGGAAATGTGTGGACAGCCTGCCAACATGGGTGAGCTCCTGAGATTTTCCAGTAAGTCTTGCGCAGAGATGATGACCCTTGACGTCTCAGCTCCAGGAGTTCTGTGATCTGATTTTATCATTTGCGAATCTGATTTTATCGCTCATCGTTTGAGAATCTGATTTTATCTTCCCCTGGAGTAAGTCGGGAGCTCCCATGACTATGGAAAACAACTGGGTGATGACCGACCTAGACGCACGCATCAGACTGCACTAAGCTCCTCTCCGAGCCGTGCCAGGAATCGGGGACTCGGAGGGGACAGTCCGAGTGACGGGATCCCTGGCAGTGCGACCCGCGGGCAGCGGCCGAGCCGGGCGAGGCTCCGGGGCTGCTGCAGCAGCGCAGCCGCCGCCCCCGCGGACTACAGCTCCCGGCGTGCCGAGCGGAGCCCGCCCCGGCACTGCCCGGCTGGGCTGGGCTGGGCTGGGCCGGGCCGGGCCGGGCGCCGCTGCCCGCGGGAGCCCCGGGGCGCTGGGAGAGGCGCGGGCGGGGCGCGGCCGGCGCTGGAGGCGGGCGGGAGGTAGGTGTGTCCGTGTGTCCGAGTGTCCGTGTGTCCGAGTGTCTGTCTGTCCGTGCATGTGTGGGGACAGCGCCGTGCCGGGCAGGTGAGAGCCCCGCGGGGAGGAGGAGCAGCAGGGGAGGAGGAGCGGCGGAGGCGGCGGTGTGTTCCTGCCTGCCGGGCGGTGCTGTGTGCCGTGCGTGTGTGCGCGCCGCTCCCGCTGCCGCTCGGGTCACTCGCTGGGGGGATCCGGCCGCTCCCGGCGCCGGCGGGGATCGCTCTGCCCGGTGCGGATCGCTCTGCCCGGCGGGGATCGCTCTGCCCGGCGGGGATCGCTCTGCCCGGTGCGGATCGCTCTGCCCGGCCGGGATCGCTCTGGCCGGCGGGGATCGCGCTGCCCGGCGGGGATCGCTCTGCCCGGCGGGGATCGCTCTGCCCGGCGGGGATCGCGCTGCCCAGCCGGGATCGCTCTGCCCGGCCGGGATCGCTCTGCCCGGCGCGGATCACTCTGCCCGGTGCGGATCGCTCTGCCCGGTGCGG